GATATATAGGTAAGGTGTGGACATGAAGTGTTTATTGATATAGGAGATAACACTTATAGCACTTATTCAGTGATGTTGAGGGACTGATTGTATGAGATAGTTGTCATAAGAGCATTTATTGCTATAAGAATAAAGAGAGAAGGTGTCTTTTGCTCTCTGAACTTTTTTTTATTATAGAGCAAAGCTGCTGTGTCTGATAGCAGTGTTGATAGCTTCATCTTGTGCTGCTTGTTCAGTAAAAGCTCATGCTGCTGCCTTGATTGATGTTGTCTGTTGCACTCAGTGCAGGGTTGAGGCTGCTGGTGCACTGATAGTGTCCTCTGAGAATGAGAAGTGAGAGGATGCAGAGGAAGAAGTTGAGTGTGAAGAGAGAAGAATTGCTGTGCCTAAGCAGCATATGATGACTGTGATGATTGTGAATAGAAATTAAGTCAGTAGAATTAGAGATGTGCATCTGAGTGTCTTGACTTATCTCCTTAATTCCAGATGATTAATGAAATGAATTTTTCCTGAAGATTTGATGATATTTAATGCCTTACTTGCCTCATTAAAACCACATGATCAAAAAACCCATTTGAGAAAAAGTAGTGGAAAAAGTGCATGCATGAGGAAGAATTAGCACTTAGTGCACTTGTCAGAGTGAGTCTGACACACTTGTCACTATGATTTCTGTTGTTCAAAAATATCAAATGTCTCAGTCTTCTGAATATTTTCAAGAGGTTCTCATATATAATCAGAAGGTCCATAGCTCTTCTACTGTACATGATATTGTTCTTTACCCTGGTGTTTCTCTTTTTTTAATATCTCCTCAACTTGAAATTCTTCTTCACCATTCACTAGCTCTGATGCTGGAGGTGGAGTAGTATCATCCCTCATGTTGTAGAGTTCAAGTAGTGATATGTGAAAGACAGAGTGAATGTTGTGCATTGAGTGTGGAAGGAAGAGTTTATATGCCTGTGTATTTCAAGATTCAATAATTTGGAAAGGGTTAACAAATTTATGATTCAATTTCCTAGTGGGACAGAGCATGTGGAAGTTCTTCACATTGAGAAGCACTCAGTCCCCCACATGAAAGTGTTTTATGCTGTGTTTGAAGTCATAGTACATTTTTTGCACAGTCTTGGTCTTCTTCAGTTGTTTTTGAATCTTTTTCTATATGTTGTATTTCTTTGGCCTGATTGATTACCTCAATTGAGCTTGGATAAAGTGAGTTACTAATATCAATCTGGAGGGTAGGTCTGTAGCTGAGAAGTGCAAGGGCTGGAACTTCATTGGTTGAGCTATGTTGTGAATTGTTATAGACAAACTGCGCTAAGGGCAGCCATCTACCCCAGTCATCCTGGTGAAAATTCATGAAGCATTGAAAATAATGATCTAGTACATGATTTTGATATTCAGTTTGACCATCTGTCTGTGGATGAAAGACTGTAGATAGTCTTCTTTTGACCTCAAATAGATAATAGAGAGTTGATCAGTATCAACTTGTGAAAAGAGCTCTTCTGTCTAAAACATGATTTTCAGAGATATCAAAGATGCTATAAGCATGAGTATAGATAATGTTTACAATACCTTCTGCAGTAATATCTTTTGTGCATGGAATGTACAGAGCATACTTGATTAAGACATCAACTAAGACAAGAATTATGTCATAGGTCTTGTCTAGTCAAGTAGTGGCTGGGAGGCCAGTGATGAAGTCCATAGTGATGATTTGTCATGAATTGATTGGTGTTGAGATTGAGCCAAGTTCACCATACTGTTTGTGATGGCACGCTTTTACCCTCTGGCAAGTATCACAAGTATAGACATGTTTAGTGATATCCTGGGTAAGACCATGCCAATAGTACTTACTTTAGACATACTCAATAGACCATTTTGTGCCAAAATGACCCCCTTGTGAGTCATCATGATTGGTGTGAATTATCTCTTTGATCAGCACTTGTTGCAGTGGAATATAGACTCTATTGTTTGTCTGAAGTAGGTTGTCTTTTGAGATGGTCCAGGATATACCACTACTCAAGATTGTATCTTTATCTCTTATCTTCTGCTTCTTTGCTATTGCAAAGAAGTCTGAGTCCTGTGCTTTAATAAAAAGAGAGGTGAGGGACTCTGGCATATCTGTATATACTGATTTGAAGACTGTAGCAATGTTAACCAGCAGTCTGAGAATATCTCAATTTCTAAGGTGTTTCTTTGAGACTAGGTCTTCCTCTCTCAAAGATTTTCTGATCAGCATGTTGAGTGGTTTCAACAAGTGTGATGTGAGCTTGTGAATGAGCATCTGGTGCAGTAATAAAAGAGAGTCTGTGCTTAGAGCAGGGGTTGAGAGAGGCTCAGAGCTTGAAGTATTGATTCTAAGAGATTCCACACATAGTGTGTGCTCTTGATCATGGACTTATGTATAGTTAACAAGGGTTGTAAGTGTTTTGTGAGAGTTAAATTTTCAACTCTGTTTGACACTATGACAGAGCTTTTGTTGCAAGATAAGAAGCATGATCTCATCATAAAAAGAGTCAATGTAATCTGCATGGTGACTGAGTCCATCAGCTGAGTTTTGTTTGCCTGAGTAGTGATGCAGAATGAAGTCATATGCTGACAATGCTTCCACTCATCTAGACTGACATCAATTCAGTGTTTTAGTCATCATAAAATACTGAAGATTAGCATGATCAGAATAGACAAAATTTGATGTTGACTTTCTTCCAGATAATAGTACTAATTTTTGAAAGATGTGATAATTGCAAAGAGTTCCTTGTCATGAGTATCATATTGTATTTCTGCATCTAGGAGTTTATAAGACCAGAATGCAATTGAATGTCATTGATCATCATCTTATTTTTGAAAGATAATGACAGTCACTGCTGCTGTAGAGGCATCAGGTTCAATCTAAGTTTCTTGACTTGAGTCAAAATAAGCAAGTAGAGAGGCCTGCATGAAGTGTTCTTTTAGAGTGTCAAAGACATGTTGTGCATCTTTTGTTCATGTGAACTGTGACTTTCACTCCCCCTTCTTTGAGGTCTTTATGAGATCAAAGAGAGGCCTCATGATTTTGAAGTAGTTTTTGATGAAGTGGTGATAGAAGTTTACAAATCTCAAAAAAGTCTGAACTTTCTTAACACTAGTTAAGACTGGCCATTTTGTAATAGTTGCCACTCAATCTGGTTTCATTTTAACACCCTGGGGTCCAACAATGAATCCCAGGAAGGAGGTTTTGTTTTTGTCAAACTCATATTTAGTGTACTTTGCAAACAGATTCGCGTGGTCTAGGTGTTAAAGTATCTTTTATACATGCACCTTATGCTCATCCATTGAGTTTGAATAGATAAGAATGTCATCTAGATAAACCACACAGCATATATCAAGAAGGTCTACTAGGATGTAGTTTATATAGACTTGAAAGGTGACAGGGGCATTTGCAAGCCCAAAAGACATAACATTATACTCAAAGTAGTTATATCATGTGTGGAATGCTGTTTTTCATCTATCACTGTGCTTAATGTGTATTCTGTGATAAGCATCTCTAAGATCAATCTTAGAGAAAACTTGTGCTTCAGAGAGTCTATCTAGCATCTCACTCACAAGAGGTAATGGATACCTGTTTTTGATTGTGAGATAATTCAGACCCCTGTAGTCTACATAGAGTCATAGACCTCCATTCTTTTTTAGAACAAAGAGAATAAGAGTACCTGCAGAGCTCTGAGAAGGAGATATCCAGCCTTTTTCCAATGCACTATCCAAGTAGTCCTGAAGAGTTTTCAACTCTGTTTCAGAGAGATTGTAGATAGGTATGAATGAGGATCTGACTTCTTCCTCAAGATCAATTAAGTGCTCTGCATCAGGTACAGATGCGCTGGACGCGCCCTCTTCAGAGAAAAGGTGCATATATGGTCAGGCATAGTCAGGCAAGTCATTGATAGAAGCTGTATTTGCAAGTAGATTGTCTTCTAAAATTGTTAAAATTTCAGAGAAAGGCCCAGGAGCCTGTACAGAGGCCTGAAGACCCTCAGCATGAAGCTCAGAGGTGAATACAAGGTCCCTGGAGGTTCTGGTAAGAGGCCCAGAGGCTTGTGAGGTTGAGGTAGGTACTATTATAAGTACATAGCTAGAGGCATCAGTGAGTAATTCATTAGCAGCATCTGTTACACTCAGAGTTATCTCTTGATTGTTTGATTTTTGATGAAAATAGAATTCTCCATCTTTTCAATCAATGAGAGGATTGAGTTGTTTGAGTTAAGAAAATTCTAATATCATGTCATAGTCTGAAAGTTTGACAATATGAAAGGAGTGAAGTTCTCTGACTGTAGTTTCCTTACTATCTGAGACTTCTACCTCTAGATCAATAGTTTCAAATAAGTGTGTTTGATGATCATTAAACCCCTTTATTCTGTGTGGTGTGCGCTCTGTTGGTTGCAGTTTGTGTGATTTGACTCAGAATTCACTGATAAAACTTGCCTGAGCTTCAGAATCTATAAGGATGAGAATTAATGTGTCTCCTGTGGGTGTTGAAATTTAAACAGAAAGAAGAAAGAATAGGCTTAGTGATTGCTGGCTTTTGAAAGTGTTAAGAGTTGTTATTGCAGCATGAATGACACTCTTTATTTATTTTTTGACTCTTTAGGATTTGATTTGAAAGAGGATTTTGATGAAGACTTTGAAGTTGAGAATTTGTCTTCAGAGAGCTTGTCCTTATCCTTCTGAGCCTTGCAGTCTGCATTGGAGTATGTAGAGCTTCAGTGAACATCACATCAGATGTCAGAGCACTTCTTGCATTTCCAGCTTTTCTTTTTAAGTGCTGTTGATGTATCATCATATGGACCTTTTCTATGAGTAGTGCTTTTTTGTTGTGTAATTGTGCTTACTGATGTGATAGTCTTTGAAATGTTGCTCTTTACAATGCTCAGTTTTGTGATGAAAGTATTGTAGGAGAGATCATGTAGCTTAACTGCATATCTCTCAAATTCTGCATGAAGAGAGGATAAAATCTTGCCAAATAGATGCATCTTTCACTGATAATCACTATATTTCTCAAGGAGATGGCCCTCAATTGACTGAAGGATGGACATAAAGTCATGAACAGTTTGACCTTCAGATTGCCTTAATACCTGATACTTCAACTCATAGTCCTGGCTTGCCTTGTCTGGGTCAATGATCTTAGCATGAATCCAGTTATAGAATTCATCCCAGGTAATTGGTGTCTCCAGTTTGAGGTAGTATTGTTGCCATTTTTGCTATAGTTTGGCATCAAAATGTGTTACTGCTTCAAGAATCTTGTGTTCATCTTCATTTCCAAAGTACTGTCCTTGATAGACATAGAAGGCAAGGCTTGAGAAGGTAAAGTCTTCTAGTTCCTTGAGACTTTTTGCCTTAAATTCATTTGAGAGTTTTCAAATTGGCGCGGGATGAGGCTTGGGATGAGTGAGATTGATGTTAATAGTATAATCTGTTGGCTTCACTTTGCACTGTTTGCTCCTAGAGATTTGAAGTTCTGCACTAAGAGTGTTGACTTGTTATTGTAGTTTAAGAACTTTCTTGTATATCTCTTGATGTCCTTGTTCTTGTTGAACTACCTGAATCTCTTTATCAACTGATGTGTGAGGTGCTTCAGTATTTCTTTCTGAAGTCAGACTTAGTGATTTTTCATAGGTAGTTTCTTCTACACATGCTTCTTCATTAGATGTTGCGTGTGGAGTGTCAGTTCATAAGTTATGTTTTGAACCCATTGTTATAGACTTAATGAGCAACCTCTCTTAGAGTGGTTAGAAACTGTGAGGACACTTAGAGTGAATGAACTGAGTGTCAAAAGGAAGTATGAGAAGCTCTATAACTAGGATTGTAAGAGGGTAGATATATAGGTATGATGAGCATTACAGAAGGAAGAGGATAGCGATAGATGAAAATGTATGTATAAGATTGAATAGTAGCTAACTACTGAATCTCTTCAAGAACTTTGGAGATTCAGAATATTTATATACATGAATGAGTAGCAATAGATTTTATCTCTAGTCTTTCATGAAAGAGGGAATTTAGTAATGTAATGATCTGATTTCCCATGAAGTGCTGATTCTATCCTTCAGGAAGTGCTGATTCTAAAGAACTAATTTTTAAGAAGTGCTGATCTGTGTAGATCTCAAGAGCTGAATCTTGAGATAATACTGATCCTTTAGAGGTGCTGATCCTAAGGTGCTTTGATAAGTGATGTGAGGAGGTAAGCACTTTAGTAAGCAGTGTGGTAAGCAGTGTGAGGGCAAGGAGCTAGTTTAGAGAGTTTTAGCATCACAACAATGACACTTCTGATGAAGTGATAGATCATATATTGACTCTAAACCTCTGAGTGAATGATTAGAGATTTCAGAATATTCCTTTGCTAATAACAGACTTAGACTAGTACTCTGTCATACTGAGATGAAAGTGATTAACAGCACAGAATATATAACTTGATGTAAAAAATTAATACTTAATTTGATCAAGTGAATGATCTATCCCTGAACAAATAGCAGAGCTGATATTGAAGATAATATCTGAATCAATACTGAAGCATTCAGACTCTAAGTCTAAGTATCAGACAGATATGAAATGAAAAGAGATCAAACTGAAGAAGAAAATCAGAAAGATATATCAGACTCAGCTCTATGAATTAAAAGGGATCAGCTCTCTGAATTAAAAGGGATCAGCTCAGTCATGACACTCAAAACAAGATAAGAACTGATCTAGAAGAAGATAACATCACATATGATAAATATGAACTTCATTAAGACTGCTTTCCTTCATGATTATATAAAGAACAAGCACTTAATAGTCTTCATAATCAGTCTGTATGAAATTGATAGACAGCTTGAAAAGAAGCAGAGTTTAATGAGAGTTGAGAATGAGTCTGATGAGAAGCTAATTAGTAACTTATCAGAATAATTAAAAGGCTAAGAGAAATGTTTCTCAAAGAAAGCATCAGATAAATTACTTCCTCTACAAAAAAATATTAATTTTAAAATAGAACTTTAGTCTGATATGAATCTCATTCAGAGTATTGAACATGCATCTCTATATAAGATAAATTTAAAGAAGTTAGAGGTAGTGAAGATCTATCTTAAAGTCAATCTAGCAAAGAGCTTTATCATCTCAAGTTTAGTTCTCTACACCTTCGCATTTCTGATTATCTGTAGTGAGAAGAAGCTACGATTTTGTATCAACTTTCATAAGCTGAATGATATAATCAAACAAGATCAGTACTCTCTGCTTCTAATAGATGAGTTAATGAACTAACTCAACAGAGCAAAATACTTTACAAAGCTGAATATTCAACAGAGATTCTATCATATCTGAATGAACTCTGAGTCTAAGGATCACCTTTAAAACCTGCTATAAAATCTATAAATATTAGATGATTTTCTTTGACCTTATAAATATCTCTGCCTGCTTTCAACAGTTTGTTAACAGTATCTTCTTTGACTATTTGAACAAGTTTATGATAGTATTCATAGATGATCTTCTAATCTATAGCATGAATCTGAAGGAGCACAAGCAGCAGACAAATTTAATGCTAGACTGACTAAAGACAGTAGATTTATAAGCTAGTATTCAAAAATGTGAATTCACAGTTCAGAGGACAAAATATCTAGAATTCATCATCAGTACAGAAGAAATTGAGGCAGATTCAGAGAAAACAGCTATTATTATAAGATGATAGATCTTTATCATAGTTAAAGAAGTTCAGTTATTTCTAGAATTTGACAATTTCTACTAATAATTCATAAGAAACTACAGCTTAATTGCAAAATCATTGTATCAGTTGATAAAGAAGATTATCTTATTTATGTGAATATCAGAATACAAATCAGTTTTTGAAAAACTAAAGAGACAGCTGATGAAGACTTCAATACTGCATTACTATGATTCTGAGCAGAAGACTTGTATTGCGACTGATGTATTTAACAGAATAGTGACTGAGATACTAAATCAAAGATTTGAAAATGATCTTTGATACTCAGTAGTCTTCTATTTAAAGTCAATGAATGATGCAGAGCTTAATTATAAAGTTTATGATAAGAAAATGTTAGCATTGATCTGAGTCTTACAAGAATGACAGATAGAGCTTAAGAGACTATAATAAGAGAAATGATTCAAAATTATCACTGATCATTATGCACTGAAATACTTCATGACTATCAAGAAGCTAAATGCATATCAAGTCTGCTGAACAGAGTTTCTTTCTCATTTCTACTTTGAGATCAAGTACCAATCAAATAAGATCAATATGCTGATAGATGCATTAAATAGACCTGAGCAGATTAGAAGGTAACAGAATGACTATATGCAGATTCTTCTAGAATTAGAGACTTTTAATCTTCAGATCACTTCTTCTACAGATATTGCTAGTATCAACTTCTCAAAGGAAGAGAATATTGCTGAACACTTAGTGTTTTTAAACAAAATAGTCATTTCAATTGAGCCTCTGTAACAGCAGATCAATGATAAGAATAGTCTTTATATAATAAAAGACAATATGCTACAGTACAATAGAAGACTAGTAGTATCTGTTTGAGAAAAAGAAAACTTTAATAGCTAAGCTACTGCAGAAAATTCATAATCAAGCTTCAACAGCATATCTCAGAGAATAAAAGGCATTGGTTTTAATGCAATCACACTATTGATAAGTCACCTGGTGGATAGACATTCTATACTATATACAGAACTGTCATGTTTACCAGGTCAGTAAAATTTCATGAAATAAAACTTCTGACTTACTAAATTCACTATCAATATCAGAACAGATATAGCAGTATATTGCAATGAACTTTATAAATATATTAAAAAGTAAAATAAATTATGATATCATATTAATTATAGTATACTAACTAAGTAAGAAAGTGATCTTTATTTCAATTATCTGAGAAATTACAGCTCAGGAGCTAGCTTGACTATTCATTTGATTCTATTACTCATACAATAAGATGTCTGACTCAATTATCTTTGACTGAGACTCTCAGTTCATATTAAGCTTTCATAATAAATTCACATAGATTCTGAGTATATAACTGAAACTCTCAATAGTATATCATGTACAAACTAACAGACAGATATAAGTAATAAATCAATGTATTATTATTTGTCTTCACTTCTATATCAGTTACTATCAAGATGACTGAGATAAGTAACTGCTCATTATAGATTATGTCTTCATATCTATCTCAAATACTTTCATAGAAATCTTCTTCTTTCTCATAGTAAATAAATATAAACTCTGAATATTATTTAATTGGCAATTATTAGCAGAGAAATTAAAAATAAATGAGAAAAGAAATTGAGAAGCAGTAAAAAGCTTCATTTATTGAATAAGAGAGATCTGAAATTAGATAAATAATGATATAAAAATAGCACAGAGACAGATAAAATGATAGACTGACAAGTATCATCAAGAGCCTAATTTTATAATAAAAGATTTTATTTATCTAATATTGAAATTATACAAAACAGATTGATTAAATCATAAACTGATAGAGCAGAATGCTGATTTTTTCAGAATTCTGAAAAAGATGAGCAATATTTATAAACTAAACCTTTTTCCAATAATAATAATTTATTCATTTTTTTTCTCAGATAAGCTATGTAAGAACTTCAGAGATTCTCTACTTGATCAGACTGTCAGACTATCAAATTCAATTGAAATAGATAATGAGAATAAATGAGAAATAGATTGTAAACTGATCTGTTAAATAAGTCAGAGTAAGCTATAGTATCAGATGTGCTGAAAGAGATTTGATGAGAATTCTTCATGATATTTTGCTTATAACTTCAAGAAATCATCATATACAATATGAGATTTCCATAAGGCTAACTCTACTGAAGCTGAATCACTGAAATATCTAGAGAAATGAATAAAAGTATAAGACATAAGCAGCTATCTAAAAAATGATAATGATGATAATCTCTCAGCATAAGAATATGCCTGTTTCTAGATTAAAGGATAATATTAAACTCAATGCCAGGGCTAGGTTTATCTCCATCATGTGATCATACTCCACATATAATCTACTAGATTGGTCATGATCCAGTCATATAATTATATGAGTTATTTTATAATCTGAGTATGTGATCATGTGAACTGTTTATAATCTAAGCAGACATTAACATCTCTTTTTTCTTATCAACTTTAATATTCTTATTATATAGTAGTTAGTAATGTAGATAGTTTCCTTCTTATGCAGTTTACATTTACTTTCTAACACTAACAGAATGACAGACTTTATAGCATATTTGAATGAAAAGAATATATATGTGATAGAGGAATCACTAGCATTAAGAGATTTGTTTTATTTTGCAATATCAAATGATGATTTTGAACCTGCATATATCTTGTAATCAAATGATGATCCTTTAATGAAGCTGCTTAAGGAGAATATCAAGACTTTGAAATACATAATAATATAATAGTATTAAAAGCTGAGTTAGTTAAATTCAATGAATATATTAAAAATGACTGTAGATTCTAAACTAGAAATATAAATAAGAGATTAAAGGACTTTGTCATTCTGCAAAATATGTGTAAAAGCAAAAATGATCTGTCTGCTCTTTGTCTCAATAAGCAGATCTATCAAATTGGTAATAAGATTTTTTGTGAACCTTATAGAAGAAAGAAAAACACTATATGATGAAGAAAATTTATTCAATGAAAGAGATACAAGATACTGAATAAGGATTACAGATGACATCACTCACTTTAGATGAATTATTCTGATTGTTATAAAAGCTGAGGTCACATTAGTACTTATAAACTTTATTAACATAATTGAAATAATATTTCAACAGTCTGTAAAAACTCTGCATTAATATAATAATGAAAAGTTCAAAAGTGATGATCTCAAAATATTTTATAAGAATAAGAGAATAGTATATGAAGTGATAACTTTAGATATATCTCAATCAAATAACTCTGTAAAATGTGTAAACTGATTAGTGATGAATAAGATAAGAAGTCTACTATTTTATAGTAAGCTTATCAAAGAGCTTTAATGTAAAGCAATGCAGATAACTGTAATATTAATAAATATATTCTCTATATCAACAAAGATTTTTGACTATAAAGATGATAGTCTATTGACATCTTTTGAAGTTTAAACAGAAGTTCAATCATCAACTAATTGAATCTGCAAGTGAGGATGTAAGATTTATAAGAAGAATCTGAAAGTGATAAATAAGCTCATAGATAGAACAGATAGTAAAAAGTAGCAATTGATAAGTTATCAAGAATTACATCAATACTGTATATGAGACTTAAAATAATATAAATTAGAAATTACTAGAAATATTACTTTTCGATGAAGATTTTGTCACAGAATTTGTTTCTATGAATGCTGTGAGTGAAGCAGTTGAGATGATGAGAGAAAACATTAAACTATCAAAGAAATTAAATGTTCTTAATCTTCTGAATGACTGATATTACTATCTGTTAGAACAACTAGCAAAAGATAAATTAGTAATTCTGAAGATATTGATTAATAATAATCTGAAGAATGTTATTGATCTGATCTGTAAAGGGTTAAGCTCTAAGAACTAAAGGCTAGTCCTTCTATATAACAAGTACGAATTGCTTGAGAAAGGGAAGGAAAGAATGAGATGAGAACTCAAGCTTAAGCAAGCTCACGTAGCATGATCACATGCGTACATGCAAATGATGACTAGGCTGAGTCAGCCAGTCAGAGCAAATCTAGAGGTTCAACCTCTTATAATACCCCTCTTCTCCTTCTTTGTTGCAGGCCTTTATAACTATTTAAAGCTCTTTTTATATTTAATTTTGCCTGCTGAGAGGCCTCCTAAGCATTCAAGGCCTTTACTTCTTGTAGGAGACTCATGTCATTCCACATAGGCTTAGCCCAACCTACCCATTTAATGAGGTATTGCTTTTTTCTCTGATAGGTTCATTCACTCTGAATCTTCTCAATCTCAAACTCAGGTCCTTTCAGAGTCTCTATAGCAGGTGGCTGTCAGTTGATTTGCCTCTGACTAGGCAAGGGATTTGTTGCTGCAGCATGTAGAAGCTTTATATTAAAGATATTGTGAATGCTGAGTGAGATGTTCAGTCAGTAAGCATGAAATTTTATCTTTTCTAGCATGATATATTGATTGTATTTTGTGTCCAGCTTCTTGCACAGGTGATTAGTTCTCATGTTCTTTAAGCTCAATCAGATCTTATCTCTAGGTTGAAAGCTTGAAGCTGAGTCTCTTCATCTATTCATATATTTCTCTTGAGATTGCTGAGCATCTGTCATTTTTACTTGAGCTCACTTCAACACTTCACAGACCTTTCTCATATAATCATCTGCAAACTCAATGAGATTATATAGTGTTTCAATAGAAGGTGCATCAGCTATATCAATGAAGGAGATGTGGAAAAGATGTGTTAAAAAGAATGAGCTCACACTTATTGAGGAAGTATCTCTATTATTAATGGTTAGCTCTGCTAGAGGGAGTTATTCACACCAGTCATCCTGTTGAAAGCTAATGTACTTGCATAGATAGATATTCAGAGTTTGATTCATTTGCTCTGTAGCTCTATCAGTCTCTGAGTGATAAGCTGTGAAGAGTCATCTCTTAATGTCTAATTTTTCACACATCTGAGTTCAAAACATGCTTGTGAAAGCTGATCTTTGATCTGACACTATCATCTTAGAGATGCTATGTTGAGAAATGATGTTGTGAAGAAACACTCTAGTCACTGTTTTCACATCAGTTTTCTTAACTGCTTTTAATATAACTTTCTTAGTCAGTCTGTCCATTATAACTATGATGTTCATGTATTCTTTAAAGCTTGGTAAGTTCACAATAAAGTCCATGGAAAGCTCCTGTCACATGTGTTCAGGAATGAAGAGAGGCTTAAGTAGTACCTGACATTAATCCCTTCATATGGTGTTTGATCTGCAAATATGATAGTTCCTGGTCATTCTTCTAACATCAGTGACATAGCCTGATCAGTAGAACTCACATCTTAAAACTTCTGCCATTTGCTCTTGCACAGAATGGCTGATAAGAGATGAGTCATGAGCCTCATACATTAACCTGGTTCAGAGAGGTTTGAAGTCTGATATCCACTTACAATCTCAAAAGAGAAGCTCTCCATTCTTATTTAAAGAGCACTCAAAGACAGAGGCTTTAATGCTGAGTTCAGAAGGAAATCTAAATCTTTTCTCACAAAGAGTTTGCTTCAGACACTGCAGGATCTTGTCATTTTTGCAGGTCTCATTTCACTGAGCTTGAAGAGACATCTCAGGTTCCACAATAGCAGTGACCACTATTAATTCCATTTCAGATGTCAGTATATTAAACTTAAGTAGTTGAGCTTGTCTTTGCTTGATTCTCTCATCATCAGCACTCTGTGACATGTTCTGCTCTCTTCATGATAGAGCATCTGATTCAGTGTTCAACTTCTCTAGCTGGTAATTAATTCTGAAGTTGAATTGATAGAGAATATCCATCTAATGTAGCTGTTTTTCATTTAGTCTGTATGTAGTCATGAAGTATTTTAGATTCTTATGATATGTGAGGATCTTGAATTTCTTTACACTTTGTAGCTCAGCATTTCATTTCTTTAAACACTCAATTATCACTAATAACTTCTTATTATGAATCTCATAGTTGCATTCTGCATGTGAATGCTTATGAGAGAAGAAGACACATGAGTGTAGAATACTCTGCTCATCATATTGTAGCAGCACTTCTCCTGAGATATAATCTGAGAAGTCTATTTCCAATATAGTCTCACAGTCAGGGTCAAATTGAAGCAGGATTGAAGTGAAGATAAACATTGATTTTAGACACTTAAAAGCTTCCTCAGCCTTGCTCATCTACAAAAAAGAAATATTCTTGCATGTAAGAATTGTCAGTGAGGTCACAATCTTTGAGAAATCCCTGATAAATCATCTATAGAAATTGGCAAAGTCTAAAAATCCTCATACACTTTTAAGAGTAGTAGGTGTTGCTCATTTCAAAGCAGCTTTAATCTTCTCTGAATTTATTCATATACCCTTATCTGCTTCAATAATAAATTCAAGATATTTTGTGCTGTTCATTTTGAACTCACTCTTTCTGATGTCTGCCTGCAGATCTGCTTCTCATAGACACATAAGCATCTTTTGTACATGCTTGCAATGCTTCTGTAAGCTTCTTGAGAAAAATATCAAGATGTCATCTAAATAGACTGAGCAGAAGTTGTCCAGATATTCATATAATACTCAGTTGATATATTTTTGAAATGTGCTTAAAGTATTAGCCAAACTAAAGGGTGTAAGCAGCCACTCAAATAGCCTGTATTTGATTCTAAAGACTGTTATCTACTTATCACCTTCTGTGATTTGAATCTTGTGAAAAGCTGCAATAATGTCCAGCTTAGTGAATTATTTAGCTCATTCAATTCACTGTAGAGTCTCACTGATTAATAATAAAGAATATCAGTGCTTTTAGATGATTTTGTTAAGAGTTTGATAGTTCACACAGAATCTTAATTCACTCTCAGACTTCTTTGCAAATAGTATGAAAGCAGCTGTGGAAGAGTTACTCACTTTAATAAAACTCTTATCTAGATAATCTGTATAAGTCTTTTGCAAAGCCAGTAGTTTCTCTTGAGATATATTATATAATAAGCCTCAAAGGGGTTGTTCTATGCTACCATCAGTCTTTTTAATCAGTTCAATTTCATGATCTCTATCTGAGCCACAAAGTGGGAGTAGAGCGTCAGCAGCTTCCTTATCAAATATGTGTAAAAACTCATGATAATGTTCAGACAGCTTTTCTCTAGAATTAATCTTTGATTTCACTTCTAGAGCTTTTTAAATGTCAGTCAAACTGATGGTGAAGATCTCAATGTTTCACTTCTCTCAAGTGCTTGTAAGCCTAGAGAAGCTTACAGCAGAGATGAGAATCACATCAGCTTTTGCATTTGAACTAGACTCTACCTCTATGCCACTCTCTTCAAATCTCACAATTCTTCAATAAAGGATCATGATTATCTTTTGCTGAGCCAGCCAGGGGTCATCTAGATACATATCATGATCATATAATTCATTCACCATGTAGAGAAAGGCCTATTCAGTTATGTGACTACTTATATCAATTTGAATGCCAGTCACTATGCTTGTAGAGAATTTCATGAAGTCTTCAAAGCTGATCATTTTAACAGGGGGAATTTCAATGCACAGAAGCTTATACTTATTAATATAGAATTGAAAAATAAGATCATAGATATGACATTTACTGTCTATTATTGCACTAGTCAAAAAGATATTATCTACTAGAGCATTGACAGTGAAGGGTTTGAATATCATCTTAGATTTAAATCTTCTCCATTGCTTTCTCATAAGCTACTTATTTCACTTCTTATAGTGTCTTTTGATTGAAGCTACTCTTTTCCTGAATCTTTACTCATATCCATATTGTTGTCATTCAGTACCAGCTTGAGGATCACATTAGCTATTGTGAAGATGGCAGAGTGTCTGAGAGATTAGAACAGACAGCTCTTAATCATATGATCTTCAGCTTTGCATCTCAGGCATAGGCCTTGCTCTCTTCATTGATTAACCTCTGTCTGATTTATCAATTTAGTGTGGCAGGCGCTTGGGGTCACAGCACCAGTAGAGAGATCCATCAGATCATCAGTGAAAGCTAGAGGCTGGTTTCATCAGTCAAGAACAGCATGACAAAGTAGAGAGTGTGAATTAGATGTCATATGATCTGAAGAAGATCTGCTCTTACAATGTTTAGACCACTGTCTTAAAGTCTTAAGCTCAGAGAGTTGATGATCAACTAATCTAAGCTCCTTGCAGTAATTCTCATAGAGAGATGGTTCTCTTACACTCATCATGCCTTCCCTCAGCTCTATGCTTAGAGTGGATTTCAAATATCTCTTTTTAATGTAATCATCTCATCTGTGACCACCAGCTTCCAGCAGTAGCTGATTAAATTTGAGCAGAAAGTCAAAGAGAGCTCTTCTACTCTATTATAGATTATTGAGCTTTTGCATAGTCTTTTTCTGTTGTGTAAAATCACTAAAGAGCATATGTGTCTGCTTCAGTAAGCTCTCTATCATGAAGTTGATCTTGTTCTTATTATTCTCAACTCAGGGATAAACTTGAGCTGCTGTCATTTCTTCCAGTCTTGAGTACACATATCAAGTACATTCCTCATTATTACCTAAAGCTTTCCTATCAATCTTAAGTTTTGATTGAAGCTTTAGCTTCTACTGAGAGTAGTGCTTCAGATTAGAACTATCATACTTCTTGCAGTCTAGTAGCTTGGTCTTTGGTCTTCTGACTGCAATGAGTAGTTGCAGGTTTGATTGAGAGAGAGTTGATGTCAGAGTGTTCAAAGCTTGTCATAGATTAGCTATTTCAGCTTGCTGAGCTGCTATTAAATTTCTGTTCTCACACTGGACCTGTTTCTGCTGTTGAAGAAAGACCATTTATTGTTGTTCAAAGCTGTTGAGAGCATCTATGCTCATTGCTTCATGTTGATCTATTTATATATTTGTTATACAAGTCTGTCACTTTATCTCATTCAGCTAGATGTTTTCAATGTTGCTCATTCATTTATTAGTACAATTGCTAACTCAGTTTATTCATATACCAGTGCTATCACTGAACTTTATGATGCAAGATTTAAGACTTTCAATAGTCTATCATATGTCAGTACATTTGCTGAGCTTCATGATACAGGATTAAGACTTCCAGTGGCCTATCAATGAAAGGAGTGAAGCAATTTATAATGTAAAGGGTTAAGCTCTAAGAATTAGAGGCTAGTCCTCCTATATAACAAGAATGAATTGCTTAAGAAAGGGAAGAAAAGAATGAGATGAGAACTTGAGCTTAAGTAAGCTCACATAGTATGATCACATGCGCACATGCAAATGATGGCTAGGCTGAGTCAGCTAGCCAGAGCAAATCTAAGGGTTCAACCCCTTATACTTATAACTAGTTACTTATTATAATTCAAATTGAGTAGATACAGACTCTCAATAAAAATCAACATCTGATTATATCATCATAATTAATGAATTCTTAATATCATAGTGCTCACAACATCAAATATCAACTGTAAAATCAACAACAGAAGCAGAATATATCACTACTAGTAAAAATACATATGAGCTTATTTGATTGAATGATATATTGCAAGATGCAGATCTAATGAAAGAGAAGTTAAAGATCTGCACAACATTGTAGATAAATAATAAAGATGTCATTGATCTGACAAAGAGAAAGTTCTTGACAAAGAGATTCTGTCATATAGAGATTTGTTACTATATACTTCATGATCTAGTTGAGAAGGGAGAGATGGAGCTCTTACATGTAGGTTCTACAGTGAATAAAGCAGATGAATTTACAAAGTCTCTGCCAAAGCCAGATTACAATGAATTTGTGGAGAAAATAGAATTGACAAAGGTCTGGTCTCATTGATGAGAATGATTGATTTTACACAGTTTTGCAGCCTCTAAGAAGGTGTAATGAGAATACATATTAAAGGAATAATTGTGTGCTTTCTTTGCAAAGTTACAGTACAGAGACATAATAGAGCTTTTCCTAATAGGGAAACTAGCATCTGATTCCTGTATTTAATTTTTATTGCGGATTTGAGGGCATTCAGTAGGGGATAGGGCAGAGCTCGGGCTCACCGTGGCATGGGGGGGGTGTTGGAGGATTCCCCGGCAACCCGAGGTCACGTGCACTTATGTATTTATTAGTAGCTAGCTAGCTTGCTTAAAAGTCACACAATGCAACAAGGTAGACAACGGTCCTCTAAGATCCCGAACTGGTTCAGTGGTTGGTTTGCTTAGTCATCAATGCATTTCCAAAAAGTCTGTGGAATTTGAAACGCCCAGCAGCTTAAGGGAGTGGCTCTAGATGGATGAGAGTTATATATCATAATAATAATAAAACAATAGTGGTGATGATGATGATGATGATGATGATGTATATAACTGGTCGCACTACATGGGCAATAGGGTGATTGATGATGATACAGACGAGAGAAAGCAGGGGAGAGAAAGATGCTGATTTTTCCATGCACAGCTGATAAGGTTAGAAACTTTAAGAAAATAGGAGGTATCCATAGCAATAACAAGAGGTAAAG